AGTCGAATGATAAATATCGAAACGAAGAGTGCCTTTGGAGCGTGAGAAGTTTCCTGTACAAGGACAAGGAAAGAAAGCAAGATGCCTGGTCCAATCTTGCAACGGAACTGGAAGTACCGGTAGCTGAAGTAAAATTCGAAAAGTCGTCATTTTGCTCGTTACAATGTCCTGGTTCTCACATCACCAAGTTTCACGCAAGGTAGATAGAATATGAGGTAGTCTCAGCTCGATGCGCAGTAGTGGACGAGTTTTTCGCGGCTCTGCGCACTACGTCACCGTGGAGGTCGAGTGGGAGTGACATACACGACGATGTGATTTTACGTGCAGGTCCAGTTGAGTGATTCCTGCACATTGCTATGCAGGATCACATACGTGAATTAGCAGCGGCATGTACATAGACCTAGATCAGGCTATCAGGGTATATTGCTCGCAGGAAGGAAAGCATGAGAGTTACAACCTTGGGTAATAAGGGAATATCAGGGTTACAGATGACAACAGTGAAAGGAGGAAAAACTGGATCCAGCAGATATCGATTCAAAGGTTATGTACACCTACCGATGACTGGTTGAACCTGATGAAACAGTTTGAGGCAACATTTGCAGCTAGGCATGGGGCATGAATCGACAAGGAGAAGGGTATAATCAAGAATCTTGCAGTTGATCTCCAATCAAAATTCCCTTCTGTGGAATAAAGAGCAATACTGCTACATGCGTGTACAAGGACATTCATTAGGGTCAATTTCTTGAACAAGAACATTGATGACAGAAGGCACCACATTAACACATTGACCGTCACCATTTTTTTTTATTCACACGCCACAGAAATTTGGAAAAAGTAAAAAAATTAATAATATCCAATCTTTCATATGTTTCACTATAACACACCTATAACATGTTTACTTCCACGCCGGAGTTTGTATAATGCACCATACTGTATTGTACAAGATATCTCGTACTAGGCGTCTGACATATGGAAATATAGTACGCAGGGCCGGATTAAGAAATTAAGAAGTTGTGGGGCCCGTGGCAAGTGAATTCTTGAGGCTAACCCCCCCGGAAGAGTGGGGTCCGGGGCAACAGCCCCTCCCCCCCCCCTAATCCGGCCCTGATTTGCAGCTATGCATGCATAATTATTAATCCATGGAAGTACTAGTTACTGACTTGGGTCAATTCCAACCTTAAGTGTCGAATGTTTTGCTTCAAATAACAAACCCTTTTGTACTTGATTCAATGAGTCTTATTATAACTGGAATTAAAAATTTAGAGAAGTGGAATCTCCCACGAACAGAAAAAGATTGCTTTGTTGACCAACGTGATGGATTTTTCCGTTCCTAAAAGAGACTGTCAGGACCAGATGGCAAGAAGCAAGCACTCTCATTCTTAATATAGAGCTTGCTACGTGTCAGCGAAGCACGTAAAGGACATCTCTCACATTATTCAAACCTGCGGATTTTTTTTTTTCATTTTACAAAGCTTCAAGTCAATTGTCACAGCATAGGTGTATATTTACGTGACACGCGTATGGCCGACTTACGTGGCCAAACCACTGGGAAAAGTGGACCCACTCATTTTCCTCTGTATCTCCGACGAAATAACAACAAATTCAGAATTAATGCAGCAGAAATTTACAGGAGGGCGAGAGGTGGTTCAGCTGCTTCACATGAAGGCGAGCTCACGCACGTGGCTTCCCGATCCTTCCACGGTGACGTCATGAGCGGCAGCCAATGAAAAGCAACCAGCTGAGCTGAGACTACCTTATATTCGATTTACCTTGGTTTCACGTATCTCTGAATTATTAGTATTTTTTATTATTATTTGCTATTCTTTGGGTTAATTGGTAAAATGAACACGAAGCATTACAAACTTCTGGGATGATGAAGGAAGACATGGATTGTTTTTGACACTCGGCAAAGCTGTCTCCACCCGCCAAAACTCTCAGAGTAATCGCCAGCCTCTCTCCGGTCGGAATGGACTCGCGAGTTGTCCGTTCGAGGAAATAAAGAGGTCCAACTTGCCTCAGGAGTTCCTCGAAGTCCTGCCCACTCATTTGTGCAAAATTCTGGAACCCAAGTCTTCAATCCGAAGCTCTCTCATGAGAGACGAATAAGAAGTTGCAAGAAGTTCCTTATCCGAATCCGTTTTCTCTTGGTTAAAAAAAAAAAAGACTTCCGTTGCCACGCGTTGTTTCCTTGTGAAGAGAGCCATCTCGAATGCTTTGCTTTCATAAGCATTGGCGTGGAGGATCCTCTGACGAAGAAAAATGCTTGCAGAAAGAACTTTCGGAGACGTCCCACGCCATGAAAGTTTCTGGTGTGGACTATCTCTGAAAGTTTGCTTTCAAAGTTTTCTTTTGCAATATTCTTTCATTGTCTATGCGAGAAAACTTTCCTGGCGTGGACGAGCCCTTAATGGCAACCGTCTTTCCGAAGAAATTAAACCTCGTTCCGGTTAGTAACATTCTCGTGATCTTCAGGAAGCTTTCCATGGCTTTGAGAAGGTTTTTTTTTTTTCCTTTCTTCCAGGGTTAGGACACGAGTACGTCTTTATGCTCTCGTTCTTTACTTTCCCGGGTTTCCACCTGTGCGATGCACGGTTCACACTCGTCCGTCCGATCGCATCCGGAGTCTACCGACTTTCGGAGATCTGCAAGGTTGGGGATTTGCCTCTGGCGGTGGAACCCCGGGAAACCGCCGAAATCGATCGGCGCAATTGACGTCGGGTGATGCGAAATTTTCACCTTTTTTTTTTTTTTCAAAATGTTCAACGGTCTCGGCCCACAGCCACCATTTCATCCGGGAACAGCCACAGTAGGGATGAATCCCATCAACGCACCCCTCGATTCCCACGAGAAGCCAGTACTGGAAAGTACTTCCAGTGAAGCAATGAAAAGTTCTCTACAAGCGAGGTATGCCTGGACTCGTATTACAAAACCAGTGGGGCAAAGGCCTCACCTGATGATGAGATATACCCATAGCACAAGGCTTACCTTTTTTCCTTTTGTAACAGCTGAAGAAGGACTGAAAGTCCTGAAAAACACTGTTACCATAGAGAGTATAACTAGAGGCTCCACTCCGCTCAAATCCCATTCATTGACAGGGTCAGAATATAGATGTCGCTGCCGATCCTCCTCCTCGCGGGCGCATGGCCGAGCAGAGGACTCGACGAGACACGCGTGTTAGGTTGATGGATCCCATTGGGTCGAATCCACGAACGAGTCGATTCCTGAGTCCGCTGCCATGAAGCACGCCTCGAGGAAGTGCTGTTGATAGCATGCCACAAGATGTCTCTGTACTATTTTCGACGCTCCCCTACCCCTCGGAGTGTTGCCTCTAGTTAAACTCTCTACTCTATGCTGTTACTATTTAAAAGATCAACGGCAGCTCTATAGAAAAATAAGCCCTGATTTCATCAGGGTGGTTGTTGATTGCATTGTTTAAAGATTCTTAGAGTCCGTTACTTTGACAGCAGACCCTCGAAACGAATCACTTTCTGTCCTCATCTCAACCACTCGAGAATCGCTAAATCAGAGCATTCAATTAAGAAAAAGACAGTTCGCTTGGAGATTGAGGGAAAAAAAACCTCTCTAGCGTCGATTCTCTCATCAGTAAGTACAGTATTTGAGTGCGAGAGATTAGCACCCCTCGCGGGAGACATCTAGTGCCGGCCGAGTGAAGCTTCGACTGGCGTGCAGAGCTTTCGGTCTCTCCGAGGGAAATCTTGCCGACAGACCGCATGCGATCTGTGGGGGACATTTCCCATGAGGACCCTGGAAAAATACGGCGCTTTTTATTGGCAATATTTCGTGGTCGTCGGGCCCATTCCTGTCGTGCGCCGAGTGCCATGATTCATTCGAAAATGCGAATAAAATATCGATAAAAATCGGCGCTCTGACTTTATGCCGTCTGACTGAAGCCACGATTTTAAATCTCGAAGCGTCGCCGCCCTCAAGAATGGCTTCGAAAAGGAAATATCCTTCACCCTCTTGAATTTGAACTCGTTGATGTGTGATGGCTGCGGGTGCGCAAGGAGAAAAATTTACGTGGAATCTAGAGTTTCTCATATCCTGCTCGTGTCTGGTATATTCGGCTGTCGGAAAAGCCTGCAATCGATCATATTCATTTATCATTTGCTCTCTTATGTTGAGCTCAAAGAAAAGCTAGGATTCGACTCGCCAACTTACGCACATCAAGCAACAAATTTAAGGGCACGACCATCCGAGTCTGTTCGTCCAAATTTCTTCCGATCGGAAATTCGCCAAGAGAAAAATGCGTTGCTTAAATTCTCTTCGGTACTCTTCGGTACTCATCATCATTAAGGCTCCATGAGCATGATGATATAATAACCGTGTCTGCTCCAGTGACAATGTTCTGGAGCAAATGATGATGCACGTCGGCCCCAGTGTCTTCCCCAATGATTTATGTGGTACTTTCATCATCGTCAAGTCCCACCGTAATTGTGCACCATTTTTTTGCGACGATATCCGAGATGGCAATCATGTGTCTCGACAGGTCTAGGCCATGAGACATTCGTCATCCTCGCCATATAGGTGCCTCCCCCCCTCCCCCGTCCCTCCCCATCTGTCACCCTATTTACGGCCGCGGATGAGATGAGGAGGAGGAGGGGGGGATTAGAAACAATTCCCATTTACCAGACGTCTAGGCAGAAACTCCTTTTTCCCCTTGGAAATTCAAGATAATCCAAATCGAGATCCGAAGCGCTTTGCTCCGAAGGCAGAGCCTTTCAGGCCCACCGAAAGGCTATTTTCATCCCCTTATTTTCCCTAACCTCATTGGCGTCATGGCCTCTAACGCTGCAAAGGGAAAAAGTGTGTTGAAGCTTGGGTTCCTTTGAGCGTCAGCGCGGAGCGTGGCCCGACTATACGTGTCGACCGCTGCCAGGCATCTCATATGGGATTCCTCCGGGCTCTACCGGGATTTCTTTCAGCCGGTTTTAATGTGTGCCGTTGCAGCCGCCAAGATGAATTTTCAAGGTCACTTTCCACATAAATCTATATTATTGACCGGCATCGACGACTTGAAAAATCCATTTTGGAAAGAAAACACGATTCATAAGCGAATGGTCGATCTGGGAGATGAACCGGAAGGAATGGAAGACAGACTCGTGACGTTTTGTCCGTCACACACTGGTCGTCATGACGTGTGGCCACAGCCCGCTGTCGCGGACTTCCTCCTCGGCTTCTTTCTCCTCGCCCTCGTTGTCGTCCGCGTGGATTTCCGGAATGGGTTGGATGGGAGGAATGCTTCTGGGCGACCTCAGGAGGTAGTCGGTCATGGAGTCCCGTCGTGCGGCGCACAGGGAGGGTCCGGGGAAGGCGGATCCTGGAAAGGCGGATCCTGGGAAGGCGGATCCGGAGAAGGTGGATCCGGGGAAGGTGGATCCGGGAATGACGGATGCGGAGCCTCGCCGGATCCCCTGTCTGAGAGTGGAGAAAAAGAGCCGATGGATGTCCTCGGCGCTCTTGGCCCTTCGTGGAGGCTCAGACGGTGGGGAACTCCTCCGCCCTCCGCCGCCGCAACCGCTGTAGACGAACACGGAGTTCGTCCTCGGTCGCTGCATCCTGTAGCCCAGACCCGTCGATCCCGACCCTGCCTGCTTCAGGGAAAACAGGTAGGAGTCCACGCCCAAGCTCGCTCGCGAGAATCTCGGCTGCAACACATCGAGCGCGAAACAAACTTCATCCTTCCGCACGATGAAACCGACTCGACGCATCCGCGAAGACGAGAAAAACGAACCAGAAAGTGCGGTTCGACGGCACACGACGATCGATGCTCGTCCTTCGTCAGATCGTACGACGGCGGAACGTACGGCTCCAACATCCGAATCTTCCCCCACCGATTGAAGAACAGCATGACCGCTGCCACCCACAGCGCCAGCACGAGAAGGACGATCCCGACCTCCTCCGCGTGCACCGTGACCCCCGCCCAGCCCTGCGCCTCCTCCTCCCAGCCCGTCCGGTTCCTTCCGGTCGAAGCGTTCAGATCCTCTCGCTCCTCTTCCTCCACTGTCAAATCATGCCACTACGTGTAAATAGCGTCTGGGGTCTTCCTAGGTCGAGGAAGACAGGGGAAAGGGATTCGCGTCCCGTCGCATCAAAGCGTCGAGAATGGAACCAAGATCTCCGGCTCGGTTTAAAATGAAATCCAAGGGGAAGTACGTCCACGAAAGTGACAAACGATTAGATATAACTCGGAACAAAGAGTCTCCTCTTTTTTAAATGTATTCTTGAGAGAGAGAGAGAGGAACTGAACCGAGAAAGAATCTCTCTCGGGATGGATGGGAAGCGGATGCGGATGACACCCTCAGCCTCGAGGATGACACCCTCAGACAGGAGGATGACACCCTCAGACGCCACGAAGCAGGACGGGAAGGAATTTGAAATTCCATCAAGGATCCTCTGCATGGGTCCACTGCCAATTCCCATGGTCCTCTCCTCCCCTCTCCATATTGCATTTACAAATTAATTCATTATGCATTCTGCACAGCAACAGACGCAGCCCGAGCCGAATCTGCGAGTCGAGGCCTTCCCCATATTTATCTTCCACCAGATTTTTCACGGAAAAAGGAGCCCTTCCTCTCTCCCAAGAGAAACGGCAGTTTAGAATCGCGCGGTTTCCACAACAGACGATCCAGTTTGCGAGGCCGAGTTCTTGGGGAAAGGCGTTCGGATGGAAAGCCGCAACTTCCTGTTTGTCCTCAAGGTGAGCGAATTTTCTTCTCAGAGAGAAATATTTCGGGTGAAAATTTACACCGTGAATGATTTTAAACATAAACGGCGTAAATTAATATTTTCTTAAAGTCATGCAACTTCGCAGATTCGTGCACAAAAAAAGGCAAAAAACAGGTTAAGTCTGTTCACAGCAGAGCGAGAAGCGCAATTCATTGATTCACCGATCGGCACGCGTCAATATCTGCAGTGGGCAGTCCGGAAATTACGATCTGCGAAGTGGAGCTCCGTGCTCGAGCTGCCGTTTTGGCACGAGAAGAGTTATTGTTGCGAGAAAAGCGAATCCCGAGTGCCAAAATCGCTAAAAAAAAAAAAAAGAACGCTGAAACATCCGTAAATCGAGTCTTAGAAGATGCGGGATCCAGCATCCGTTATGCCCAACCTTCTTCACTTACGCCGCGAATATTTCATGTTCAAAAGAGCGGAGAATGATATTCTCTTAACGGTGAATCTCTCTCGGTTGTATTTTAATTAACAATCAAAATCGCTCCCGATGTAAGTTATCACCCCATAAGTATGAATAAAATGTAAAAAAATATTGATGCTGAAAATAATTTCTCGAAGGACCCTCCCAAGGTGCGAATTTCATTTCTGCGCAAGTCTGCATTCACATTCATATTCAAGGTCAAACTTTCGCAAAGCAACAATTAATCGCGAGAGCATGTGGTCACTATTCATCGGGAGGGCATGTGGTCACTATTCCGACAGTGCCCGATTCGAGACGGGGCAGGTTAGGGACTGCGTCAGGGACTATGTCGGCTTGTGTCAAATTTACAAACTCGGAGCTAAATTCGTTTCGTGTGTCGAAAATCGATGGCAACCGCGTGCCGAGGCATCATCAAAGCCGTAGCCATAACGCAAAAAACCATTACGCATCACCGTAATACAATCTTCGACGAGTAGCACCTGGTCTGAGTCCAGGCGGCAGGGACTCGAGCGTGCGTGTCGAATCAATGGCGATGTGCATATTGATTGCCTGGAAGGGAAAAGGCCCTTCCTGACTCTCTGGGTAGTGAAGATTTGCTTAAGAATAAGTAAACGAGGAAGGAAAGAGAAGACTCTCGCCGGAAACGCACATCAAAACATTTCACTAAATGCAAACCGAGTGCAAACTTCACCGTGATTATACGATACGGCAAGCTTCTAGTATCAGACGGTTGATCCCGCAGAACTCGATCCCAAACCGCGCATCACCGGGCCGAAACACAACCAGAAAGAATCCCGACGGCCAGGCGTCTACGGGCCCCGCGAGCCGAACGGGTGACCTCTCGGGACCCGGCCGAGGTCGGGCAGGGTGGAGGCGCCGGGAAACCGACCTCATCGCGATCGTGATGGTCCTCGATCCCTCGAGGGATCGAGGACCATCGGGTGACTCGGAGCGTTTCCGAGCGCATCGCTCTCTTGCTCGGTTATGGACCGTCTCCAACTTCGTGAAGTGTCGTTCGTATGTCGTGCAACTGATGAATGGCGTCGATGGGAGTTTGTGGAGGGTCATCGTCTGGCTTACCATATGGGGATTTTCCATTATGGATTTCATTCCATTTTTTTTGTACTAGTCATTCGTTACTTAAAGGTCAGAATCGGCGTTTGCTGATTTACGCAAAAAATCCTCGGGAAGGTGCGGTATTTTGGTTCGTTGGAAAAAAAGCTCCTGCATAATGTTGTTTCGCCGCCAATTCCTACGTCATGCAGTCACACGGACTGTAAGTCGCTCCATCTACGCCTCGGCGCTTCCATAGGCACCCAGCGGCGAAAGTCTCCATCTGACGCGATCGTAGAATCGATGCGATTCACGATTGTTTCACTGGGGTGAACGCGGAACGACCCAGAGACTCGACGGGAAATCGTCTAAGAAAGGCGACGTAATCTTTCGGAAGGTGATGGACTATCGCGGATGATTGATAATATTGCGCAGGGCGAAAAAGGAATCGAGGCGAGAAATCCGGTCCACGGCAGCAGATCTCGCCATCGCTTGCGAGGACCCCCGCATGGCTCGCGGGCCGGACGAGACGAGGGTGATGTCGAGAGTCAACGTCACGAGGATCGGTTTCCGGAGGCAACGGAAATGAAGGGCCGTAATGGTCCCTTCTCGACCTGTAATGGACCCTTCTCGATCCCCTTCCTCCTCTCGACGGCGTCATTTCCCGGATCCTTCGTTCCTCGCTTCTCCCAGCCATATTTCTCCCGAGCTTTCTACAGCGCAATTCACCAGACACCGTTTCTCACTCGATTCAGACGCACGAGAGCCATCACGGGACTCACGCGAAAAACTGTCAACTCGAGTGAAACACACCGCACATCGAGTCTGATCGTTCCCGATTTACACGTACACCACGAAACGAGTCGAAGACGAACCACGTCCGCAACGAAATGCACCCCAAAGTCCCATAACGATCCACCGAGAAACACGAAAAGGAGGGAGACGGATGCCTCCAGAGATTCCTCTCCGCTCGGAGGCTAAGTGATTTCATTCTCCCAGTCGCCTCGGAGGAGCAACCACGAGGGACTCCTCGCTTCCGGATGATGAACGATAATGCGACCGCCTACCTCGTTCGGGGAGGAAGTGGTGTCGGAAGTATCCCATGATCTCCGCCCTCTCTCTCTCGATGCCTAAAAGGAAAAATGAGAAACGTGAAGAAAAACACATGACGATGAACGCGGAGGAATTCAGCAGGCATTTCGGAACGCAATCGGAGCTTGTGGGCAGAGGGAATTATTTTCGGATGAAAAATTGCGTCTCTCATCTCGGGATTTTTTTCGGGGACTACATAAAGCTTTTTGGAAATGAAATTTCCTCCGATGGGGCAAGCTCCGAGTGCTTTGAATTTACGAAGGAATTTGAGATCGGCATTTTGTTTACATCAGAGAGAAAATGCCTTCAACATTTTTCGTGAAAAATAATTCAATGCCATAAAGCATAGCAGCCGATGAATAGTTTTTAAATTGCTTGAGGGCTTCACTTTTGGCTTTCCACGTGTTCTCTTCGTCTCTGCAGCTTCAATTGAGCTTTTGCTGGCATTCAAGATTTCATTTTTAATAAACATTCCTGTCCTACACGCTCTGAGGGCCAAAAATGCACATTCCCAATCGAAAAAGCAGCTGCGACACATTCCGACATCTCGACCTGCTAACCCATGAAGCCTCAAAACAAGCGAGAAATCACGACTCAAAGACGACTGAAGTCACCGGCCACAGGATAGAACGGATCTTTAAAAACCAGCAGATCGCATCCCCAACGCCTGCACGGTCTGCCCGAGAAGAAGGCGCTTTCCCTGAAGGAGCTTTTTTCCTTCGAACTGAGACGAGGATGTAAAAGTGTCTGCTCTCCCAAGCGGCCGCCGGGGTGAAAGAAAAGGCGATCGGTCGGCTCACTCGAGCGGGAGGAAGAAGGAGGCAATCGTCCTTCATTCTCTTTCTTTTTTTTTTCCTCTCGTCTTCCGACAAGGACCCGCTCTGATTGCTCATCATGATCCTGTAAGTGCATTTTGTGCGAGTGTCATCCCATCTTCCCCTTCCTCGTCCTCTCCGTCATGAATGAAGCTTGGCAATGTATGGGCACGAGAGTTCTCTCATGCTTTCATCGTTAATTAGCTCGAAAGAGAAGACTCACATGCGAAGTTTTTTTTTTTCGGAAAAGTTTTTTTTTTTTTTCCCTCGGCGGGATTTATATCTGCTTTGAGTGTGCATAGAGGGAGAACTCATCTAGAACTCGGATGGATTTTTTTCTCACGTGGTCGTTTTTTCTCTAGGAAGACGATCCTCGCCAACCCCCATTGGTATGGGGATACCGTAACGTATCGTATTCGCACGAGTTAAGCCACGATTGCAAGGTGATTAAGCCGATTCGAGTCTTCCATCGACGGCGTCTTCAAGCATCGAACGACACTGGGACGACCAGGCGAAAAAAAGAACCATCAGCTCCAAGAAAAAGCCGTGAGGTAAAAACACAACCTCAATCCCTCTCCCTGCATTTCAGCCTGTTCTCGCATGCTGCGTTCCGTCTGAATCCCCGCGGAAAACAGAGAATGGCCCTAACGACCATTCCAGTTCACCCGATTCACCACACGTTCAGCGACTGCACTCAGGACAGCAGTAATCGCTATAAATGAACTGGAAATGGCATAAAGGTAGTAGTAATTGATCCGCCTTTGCAATGACTTTTTCATCTCACGGAAGTAAATATCGCAATCCTTTGGGAATCGTCAGACTTCCCGAAGCAAACTCAAAAAAGTCGATACTGAGTCGTGTAACGGAATCAGAGACACTCGCAGACGTTACCGGGAGAAGCATCGATCTGTATTACAGAATGCGGGGATTAGAGATCACAGGATTAGAGATTACGGTCATGCCGATGCCGACGCCATCAACGGGGTTCTTCGCAACCGCACTGTCCGCTGTGCGAACAGCGCCGTCGGAGATGCAAGGGCGATACGCGCGAGGTATTCCCCCGTTTCGCAGAAGCATCAAAAAGGCTTCCAAGGTGCGTCGACTTTCCTTTCGATGAGTTTCCTTTCGCATTGTGCCGAGTTTGACTAAATTCCATCAGATTTACGTCCTATTTATTTTGGTCAGTCGAGGAGTACAACTTTTCGGCGAAGGAAGAATGATAAACTCAATATGAATTATATACATGTAATGTAAATTAATAAAATTATACAGGTAATTTCCTGTCGGAATAACTGCACGCCATCTCACACCGACATTCCATTGAAAGCCATCACCATTTCCCGGCTTTATCCGAACGGGCCACCGTCGAGCAACCGGCCTGGACAATAGCTGGTAATTAACAATATCCAGGGACGAATCGAGATGAAAGTGGCGAAGGACAAGGAAAAAGTCGAATGGGTTGGTCCTAGCCGTTCGCAAAAACCCTTCCAGGAATTCCCAGTCCCAGTTTTCTAAGGGGCAGAAGACTCTGTTTCTGGGAATGAAATGAATCGTAATTAAATGTCTTCCGTGAGGGATGTCTCCCCCGTCCGCGTCTCCGCTGCTTATTAAAGGGTCGACTGGAGCGAACGCATCCGTCTCCATCGTCGTCGGGGGAGTCTTTCTCGGAAGGTCGAGGAGGTGAAGCGGGATTCGGAGGGTTCAGGCTCGAAGGTCGATCTCGCCACAGCATGGTAAGGGCAATGTCCTTTAATCGGGTGGACGGGGGGGGGGGGAAGTACGTGCGAATATGATTAATGTTATTTTATTATTATTGTTATTATTTTCGACTGTTGGCCGGTGCACTTCATGGATGTTTGGATTTTGTCCATCAGGATAAAATTGTGCAAATTTTGATCATGCAAAAAAAAGTGCAGCGCATATTTGTGTTCGATGCTTTCTGCCCCAAAATTCAATTATATGCATTAATGCGTAGTTTTTTTTCATCAGCGTTCATAAATTATTGAAGGGTATTTTAAAACGTACATCTCGACAGTAACTGAACACGGAACAAGTTTTTTTACTGCTTAAATTTCCCTTCAGTAATGCTGAAAGCGGGCACCGTTTTGCAGCTCTGCACGCATCCGGTCGACATTCCATCTGTTTTCTCAAGCATTTCTGATTGATTGTTCAAATTGTTCAAACTGCGTCTCTTATTCTCTCTTGCAAAAAACATCCAAACTTGCAAATTTCGCCTTGCACGCGATACTTTTTCATACCCAAACAAGAATAACAAAGGAATCCAATCCGGGAAAAGCCTCTGTTTTTTTCCCCCCCTGGTTTCTCGGAACTGCCCATGCCACCTTCTAATCGAATTGCCACCTGCAGATTCTTCCTGAAAAACTTGCCTGAACTTGCGTTGGAGGAGAACTACCGATTTCAATTTCGCAGGGCGCAAAAACGCATTGAAAAATTTCTTGCATTGTGGCTATGACTCGATCGGCTCATGTGATAAATTATGATGCAATAACTTATAATGCAATAAACTATTATGTAATAAATTCTCTCGATTTCTCTTTCTTTGCCTCAGTCATGCATGCGCCAAATGTAAATAATAAAAAGTTATCGCGTTTAGCTACCGTCTGCTGCAAACCCGATCAACTTATTAGATGTGGTTTTCAAGATACACTACAAAATCTTAAATAATTTATGACCACCTTGTACTTTCCTTGTACATGAAAACGGTGATGTGGACCTTACATTGTCATTAGAGCGAGATTACAGAACCCTGCGAGGAAACAGCACCGAATAAATGAGCTTGTATTTCCCTGGCGAAATTTGCTTGCATTCCAGCAATAAGGGCAAGGTCCATTGTCCTTGCCTTTACTGTCTGGGCCAAGTCGATTCATGGGAAAATTTTAAGAGGAGCAGGGATCCATCTAGGCAGAGCCTGATGGTACACTCACCGGCAAGTTGGCCCAACGTTTCTGATGGTCCGGGTTAAAGGACGAGTTAAAGGACATTAAGGGACACGTATTAAAGGCAAGTGTTCGGTGTAACGTTGAAGGGCACCCTCCGTCGCATTTGATTAAATGGCTCCGCGAGAACAAAAGGCAGCCGATGCACGAGACTACAATGAGGGCA